GATCTCAGCTCTTCCACAACAGGCTGGTGCTTGACTTTTCCCATCGTGTGCCATGTGAATTGTAGGGGTGGGGACACGGTTCCCCCCACAGCCACACGGTGACCAGTCCATAGGTACGGTCCGCGCTGGTGGCACGTGGGGGCTGCAAAGCAAGGCGCTCTTTCCAAAAACTGGGGTGCAGGGATGCCACAAACCCCCCCTCCCCCAGCCCCTCTGTTGGCCAGGGTTTGGTGGGAGGTGAAGGACCGACGTCCTGCAGGGGGCTAGGTCATCTTCCTGGCCACGCTGGCATAGGTGTGCACGATCTCCTCGTCTGCAGGACACGTGTGGCTGAACTCGTCACAGGCGTAGGCGTTGTTGAGGTAGCGCCACACACCCGTCATGTCAGCTGGGATCTCGAAGTCGCGGTACTTTTTGGCTGCAATCTGGAGGGAAGAATGAAGCTGAGGCCTCACCAGCACCACTGGGTGTGGAGAGGACACCAGATTTGGCTCTGGGTGCCCCTTACCTTGATGATGTGCAGCTTGGGCAGCAGGTTGCAGTCAGCCAGCGTCAGGTGGTCCCCATCCAAGAATTTCCTCTTGGAGACGGTGATGTCCTCCATGCTGTCCTGGTCGATCTCCTCAGGCAGTGGGGTGGTGAGGTACTGATCCAGCCGCTGAAACTCCCGCAGCAGAGCCTTCTCCAGGTCTGGGTGGGTAGGGAAAAGCATGGCATCATGCAGGGGCCCGGTCCCCATCGCCCCCCCTGAGCCCCTACCAGGCTGTGCTGAAAGGAGCAGAGCCCTGGGTTCCCCAGCCTTACTGCTATTTGCTTCCTTGCGTGAGTTCTTGATGTACGCCGAGAACTTGGCAAAGATGTCACTGCCCACGTCGAAGGACTCCTTGTATTTGGGGCTCAGATGCGGGTACCTGGAAAGAGATGCTGAGGTCAGCTGAGGACATCTCATGCCTGGTGGTACCCACAGGTGGCACAGGAGGGGGCTGAGCAGCTGCAGAGCTTTAAATAACTGCAGCTGCTTCGTTAGCACGGCTGTTTGCCATAGGGAACAAACTTTGGGGCTTGGAGACGCTACCCCAGGGTGCTGCTCGAGGCTGACGTGTGCAAGGAGGATGACGATGAATGCACTCAGCATTTCCTCTTTTGTGCAGGGCGTTTGCTTTGGCAACGAGCAGGCAGAGGTGGGGGCACCTCCTGTCCCCTGACAGCAATTGCCATCGCCAGCTGCAAAACCACCATCTTATCCTCACCCCCCCCCCTCCTGCTGCTCATCCTCCTGTTGTTCCCTGTCCCATGCTGTCCCCCCACCCCGGATGCTCTCCTGCCTCAGTTTCCCCATCCGGCCAGCCCTGCTCAACACGGGTTCGCAATTACATGGGTGGGCACAGGGTCTGCTCCAGGAACTCCTCGATCTTGATGAAGTCGGTTTTCAGCTCCCGGTTGAACAGCAGGAAGGGCGGGTTGGTGCCTGGTGCTAAATCTTTTAGCTCTTCGGGTTTCCTGGAGCAGAGAAAGGAAGAGGGAAAAGCTGGGGTGAGCGCAGCGGGAGCGCCCTGCTCGCATGCTGGGCCGGGTTTGGGCTCTGGGAAATGCCTCCCCCCCAGCTTTTTGGTGTCTCAAACCCATGTGTAAGTGATGCACGTGGCTGGAGGGCAGGGACTGACCCCAGCACGGTGTTGGCACCTCACCTGGTCATGTCCACCGTGGTGACGTTGAACTTCACCCCTTTGAGCCACAGCACCATGAAGAGGCGCTGGCAGAAGGGGCAGTTCCCAATGTTCTCTCCATCCAGCCCAGCCTGCGGGGAGAGCAGAGAGGTCAAAGCCTGCCCTGAGGTGAAGCCAGGAGGAGAGGAGGAGGAGGTGGAGGAGGATGGACAGCTCAAGGGAGAGGAAGGGAGGGTCAGCTTGGCTGGGACGCCAGGCTCAGAGGGGAAATGTGCTCATGTTTGCCAGGAAAAGCACAGCTTGTTTTTGTCTGCTGCACTGCACAGCCTTAAAGCAGCCAAGCGAGAGGAGTGAGCATCGCCCACCCCAGGGAGGAGAAGGGGTTGGGGAGCACAGCCACCACCACCACCTGGAGGAGAGTTTGGGATAACGTTGGGGTGCAGGTGTCCTGAGAGGAGCTGGCAGGTTAGAAAACAGCCACCCTACTCTTATGCCATCAAACATCTCTGCTCCCTTTCCCCTCTCCGCAGTCTCTACAAGCCAACACCAATGTCATCCCTTGGAGCACCTCCAGCACTGGTAGCTCAGTGAGGCTGTCCTGAAATGAAAATCAGGATGGCCTCTGCAGGAAGCAGAAAATAAACCTTAGCCAAGCCCATCTGAGGATGCTCGGAGCCAAATGTTATCAGGAGGAAGCTCCACTAGCACTCATGGCACCAAACAGCAGGGAGGGGAAGTCATTGCTCTTTGCTTCCCCCTCCAGCAAGAGCTTCTTCCTCTGCTCAGCAAGAGCTCCTGTGGCTCCCCACTGGCTGTGCCCACTGCTTTTCCCTCCAGATGATGCAGAAACCCCTTCAGATGATGACAGAAACCATCTAGATTGTGGAGAAACCCTTGAGATTGTAAAGAAATCCATCCAGATGATGAAGAAAACTCTCCAGATGATGGAAGAATTCTTCTTGATGATGGAAGAACCCCCGCAGATGATGGAGAACCCATCCAGATGATGGAGAATCCCTCTAGATGATGGAAGAGCCCCTCCAGACAATGGCAAAGCCCTGAAGATGATGGAGAACCCATCCCGATGATGGAGAATCCCTCCAGATGATGGAAGAACCCTTCCTGACGATAAAGAACCCTTCCAGATGCTGGAGAAACCCTGCAGATGATGGAAAAGCCCCCAAGCCAATGGACGAAGGCAGCCAGGGAGGTGCAGGCTGTCAGCCCCTACCCGAGGCCCCACGCCTGCACGAGGCATCAAAACCCCAAAGTTGCTCACAAGTTCCGGTGGTTTAACGCAGAGTGAAGCAGCACGAGGAAGAGGGAGCACTCTGTGAGCTGCATCACCCCGACATCCCCCAGACCCACCCGAAAGATCTCCCTAAAAGAGCTGGGGGGCACATCGGGGTGGGCTGAGCAGTGACGCCGCGCACGGAGCGCATGGAGGGCGATGCGTCCGTCAGTTTGCCAACGGATGTGCAAGAGGGGGTTTTTGGTGCTAAATTAAGATTTAGGGGAAGTCCTGAGGCCGCCAATTTGTTTTCTGTTTCCCTTCCCTCCAAAACCCCCCTCGACGTGCTGCCGCCATCACAGCAGCCGTGCGCACGTCTTCCTCTTCCCAAAGCCATCCTGGGGCAAAAAGAGGTGCAGAAGAGGAGATGTGAGACCTGAATCCTTATCCTCAAGCATTGCTCTGGGCTCAGCCTGGGCTGGGTGTCTGGGGAGCGTTGCTTTGGGGAGAGGGGATGGGGGTGAAGCCCGTAGTAACACTTCCCAGTGCTGATATCCAAAGAGGGGAGCAGGGACGGCGCATGCGGCTGCAGATGTTTGTTTGGAGCAGGAGTGTGGGAATGTTCCCGAGGAAACACTTGAAAAATTGCTCAACAGAAGGAAGGAAAGGAAAGAAAAGGAAAGGAAAGAGAAGGAAAAAACCAGCCCATTTTCTAGTGAATTATCCTCAAGGCTGACCGGAGGAGCTGCCCCATCCCACCCACGCCGGGGCACCCGCTCCATTTCCCAGCCCCACTGCGTTGTGCTTCCACCCTCCTGTTGCTTTCCCAGCTGGGTTGCTTGTTGCTCTTCTGCAGCTGCTCACCTCTCTGCTTCTCTACAATCACAGTTTCCAAGGGATGCACGACCACCTCTGGAGCGGAGCATCCTCTGGAGCTCCCCACGCCACCCAGCTGGCTGCCGATCCACAGAGACACCCCAAATCCCCACCACCCACATGCAAACAGACCTGGCCAAACCCACCTTGACAAAGAGCTCAATCTCAGGCTCCTTCACCGGCCGGCTCTCCATAGCAGGGATCGCAGCGGGGGGACACAGCACACTCACTGCTGTGCTGAGTTTCGCCTGTGCTCTGCGGCGCGCGGCTGCTGCACCTCGGGGTGGGCTGGGACTGGGGCTCGCCCTTTCCTTCCCGTCCGAAGCGGGGAGGAGCGATGGGGTGCAAGGAGGGGGAAGCTGCGGGGCCTCCCAGCTGTGACTCAGCACGCATCTATCAGGGAGGCACTGACGGGTCCCCAGCCAGGCTATCGCGCCCTCCCAGGCGTCTCGATCACCTCTCCAATGGGAATAGGGTTATTTTTTTGTACAGGAAGTGTCTTCACCACCCTCCGGTTCTTTTTTTTCCCCTCTCCCTGAGTTTCTTGCTGCCGTCCCGCTGGATCCCACAGATACAGGACGTGAGCACGATGCCACGATGCCCACCCTGCTGCAATGGGGGTGTGGGGCTGCATGGAGGGCAAACCCGGCCGCTCGCCACCACCTCCTCACAGACAGCCTTACACAGGAAGGCATTGCAAAACACCCATTCCACGGCCCCATTCCCGGAATTTGGGCTGTTTCATGGGAAAGATGCCCCCCCTTGCTTTCCTCCCCAGGATGCCTTTGGGTGGAGCTGGCTGCTGGGGTGAGCCCAGCAACGTGCCATGGTGCCGTGCAGCCAGCACCAGCTTTGCACAAAATGGGGTTTTTATTGCGCCCCATTCACCCCAGCTTGGATAAGCTCAAAACTTTTTGCAAACAATCTGTGAATGAAGAGAGCTTCCTGCTGCTGCTAAGCACAAGGCAGCCCTTCCCTTCCTCCCCAGCACTCAATGACCGGACATGTGCTGCGACACAGCCTGCAGCACGCGTGTATCCTGGCCATAAGCAGAAAGCGGGGTGCAGGCTGGGGACCCCACTGCCCTCCTTCATCTGCTGCACAGCCCTCAAAAACACATCCTCTGCTCCCGGTGGCACTTGTCCCCGTGCTGTCCCAGCTGCCCAAAGCGGCCTCAGTCGCTCTGCAGTGCACAGAAGGACCCATTGTCACTGCTGTGCCAGCCCCCGCCCCGGCGCCAGCTGCTGCAGGGACCAGGCGGTGGCAGAGAGCACTGGTGGCACCATGGTGGCCACGCTGGTGGTGGCCCTGCTGCTCCTCTGCCTGGCTGCAGGGACAGAGGCCAGCCCGGAGCTCAGCGGTGAGTGGGGCGCAGGGGATTTGGGGACCACGAGGGGTGGGGTGTAAGCCAGGCTTGGCTGGGTAGCTTGTGGAGTGTGGGGGATCCCATGGGAGATGCGCTGGCTCTGGCCCAGCACCTAAAAAGCTGCTGTGGGGCAGGTGGGGAGGATGTGATTTCATCTGGGCAGAGCTGACGACACAACTCTGGGTCTGAGTCAGTCACACCACGAGGAGAATCGCCCACAGCCTCCCTGCTGATGCTTCACCCCCCAAAAAAACAGCGTCTGAGCGAGAGTGTGTCAGTGCTGGGTGGAGGCACTGCAATGCCTCTGCCACTGGAGGAACCTCTGCTCTAAAGCACAAACCCCATCCACATCTCTGCCGTCCTCTTGGATGCTGCTGGCCCCTGGGAGCAGCGCTGGCTGTGGCTGATGAAGGGTCGGTGGCCATAGGGGAATTGAAAGGGGCTCTTTGTGCGGTTGAGCCTGGCACTGGTTTGTGGATGGAGGGACAGAGGGACAAGCGTGGGGCTGGGAGCCAGCCCTCCCACCTGCTTGTGTTCATCTGGGGGCTGGGGAGCTGCTGGCTGTGCCCCGCCATCCCAGCACCCTCCATCCTGCATCCCCGCGTCCTGCATCCCTCAGCAACCTGCATCCTTCCCTGTCCTTCATCCCTCAGCGTCCTACGTCCCCCAGAGCCCTGAATCCTGCCTGGCAGGAAGGCTCATCACCCTCTCCCCACCCCCAAGCCTCCAAACAACAGAGGGAAAGCACCAAGATAAGTTGCTTTGGGACACAAACTACACAGGATTAAAGGAGAGAAACACCCCACGCTGGGAATTCAGGATGAGAAGCGGGAACTCTGCCCACCCAGAAGGATGTGGGCTGGGAATTTCTCATCCATTGGGTTCTTCCCATTTCCGGTGATCATCTCCTGGTGATCTTTTCTTAGTGACTGACCACCTCTTGGTGACCATTCTGGCCATCATCTGCGATCCCTCCCCAGCTCACTGCTGTGTCCCCCTGCAGGGTACCTACGCAAGGTGCTGCGGAACCACACGGTGCACACGTGTGATGGGGAGCAGCTCCTCATCCTGTGCCCTCGCAAGACCACCATCAGCATCCTGGGTGCCTTCTACGGGCGCCGCGTGCCCAGCCCCAACCTGTGCCCCAGCCCCGGCAACGTGTCCCAGGAGAGCACCGAGTGCATGTCACCCACAGCCCACCTGGTAAGGGCAGCGTCCCGGGACATTTGGGGTCGTGTGTGCCTGTGCTCTTGGGGCATTTCTAGGAGAGCAGGGTGCGTGGGATCCCCTGTGCTGAGTCGCAGCGAGAGCAGCCTGGGAAGTGGCGCTGCTGCAGCTCAGCCAGCACCAAAAGCCAGCGTCCCCTCAACGTCCCCTCAACGGGGACGGTACCAGGTGCGGCGTGAAGCCTCGTCCCCATCTTGCGGCCGTGAGCTTGCATTGCACGGGGCCGTCCTGGAGCGAGGCTGGGGCTGCGAGGGCGTTGCACGGAGCTGCAAGACATGCGCATGCCTGCAGGGGTGTTGCGCAGAGCCCTGTGTGCGCGGCTGCGCTTGCAGACGTGCTGCATGGAGCAGTGGAAATGTGCACAGCTACCTGCAAAGGCGTTGCATGGAGCTATGTCAGTGTGCATGAGTATTCCATAAAGCTGTATGAGTGTGCATGCCTGCACGGGCATTGCATGGATCTTTGTGGTTGTGCGTGCTTACGAGGGTGTTGCTTGGAGCTGCGTCAGTGTGCCTGCCTGCATGCATGGATCTTGCAGGAAGCTGAGTGTGCACGCCTGCGTGCTCGCAGCATAGACATTGCACGGAGCAGTGTCTGTGCACGCATTTTGTGCTGCAGTGCAGCTGTGCGTGCCTGCCTGGGCACCATGCACAGTCTGATTTGGGATTTGGACACCAAAATTGCCCACAAGACCACGTGGCCACTGTGGGGGCGACAACAGCCACAGGACAGAGGTGACAGCATAGAGGTGACAACGGCCCGGCGTCCTTCCACCAGCCTCACACCCGCCCCGCTTTGCCCTTTGCAGAAGCTTCTGGCTGAGTGTCAGGACCAGCAGTGGTGCCAGTTCTCGGTGCACAGCCAGGTGTTCGGGCCGGATCCCTGCCCCGGCACACACAAGTACCTCATCGCATCCTACAAGTGCCGGCCAGGTGGGCAGCACCCACGGGAAGCCAGGGCTGGGCAAGAGGAGAAGGTTTGGGGTGTCACGCTGGGTCACCCTAGGGTATCACCCTCTGCCCACCTCCTCCCTCCCCAGATAACCATCGGGTGAAGACAGTATGTGAGAACAACGAGCTGAGGCTGCACTGCAGGCCGAAATCCGTCCTGGCCATTTACTCTGCACACTACGGACGATTCCTGAGGGGCAAACCTGAGTGCGATGCCCCCAACGCCGGGGGACCCCATATTGGTATGAGGGGGACGGGGTCGCAGCCCGAATGGTGGCTGAGAGCTGTGCTTAGCGCTGTGCCGATGGCCAGAGGTCCCGTGTCCCTGCAGAGTGCCTGGCCCCAGATGCACTGCGGAGGGTTTCCAAGAAGTGCCACCGCAAAGGGAATTGCACAGTGACTGCTGACCAGGCCAACTTTGGGGACCCATGCCTGCCCGGCATGAGGAAGCAGCTACGGGTGTCCTACACCTGTGGTGAGAGTGGGACTGCGGGGCTGGGGAGGCTGTGTGTCCCCCACCCCTGGGGACAAGTGGGGTGGTGACACTTGGGATGGCGTATCTCATTGCAGTGCCCAAGCAGCTGCTGGAGGAGGTGGGCCCAGACACCTCGGATCCCTTCCTGCTCTCAAACTACATGCACGGTAATTTGGGGAGCAGAGGGGAAACCATCTGGTGCCCCATAGGGATGGAGAACCTCATAGCAATCCACCTCAGAGCAAACAAGGGTGTTTTCTGCTGGGGAAAAGAGGGGGTCTGGCACATAGACACCCCAAGGGGAGGCGGCCCTTCACGTCCCCTTGTTCACTGCAGGTGGCTGGTACAAAGGGCCCAGGTTCTCCAGGCTCCGGGAAGACCGGATGATTTTTACTAGCTCCCTGGCAGCTTTTGCCCACCTCTGGGGTACGTGGCCCCAAAGTATTGGGTTGGTGGGGGGGGTTTCCAGGCCCAGGCACCCTGTGTGTTGCAGCAGGGCGTGCACCCCGATGCCTCTCTTTGCTCTTTTCCCCCCACCAGATGTCCCTGAAAAAGTCGCTCTCTACTTTCTCTGCGGGGTGTCGGCGGGCCTCGCTCTGCTGCTGTGCATCGTCAGCCCCAAGGCTGCCTTCCTGAGGGAGGCCAAGGAGGTTCTGCTGGGCCCCGGTGGCCGCTCAGAGGCAAGCAGGACCAAACTGCGGGATGAGCAGGATGAAGACCTGCCTGACGACAGCTCCTCCGACTCCTCCTTCCGCCGCCTCACCCGCGCCTACCGTGCCACTGAAAGCATCTTCGGCCCCGAGCTGACGGCAGCCATGGAGGGAGCGGCCGAGCAGCAGGGCCGTGGTGGGGAGGAGATCTGGATGCCCAAGGAATCCAGTCCCTACACCATCCAGAAGATCAAATCGGCCACCAAGTAAGGAGGTGAAGGACGAGGCGCTGTGCCGGGTGCAGTGTTGGCTCTGTGCCTCCATGGCTGGACGGTGAACCCTGCTTACTGGGGAATGGGCTTGCTTTTTTTTAGCAAATAAAAGCAGAAGCTCAGAGTTCAGGAAATGAAGCTGTCACACCCAAGCTCCTGCCAGCGCATCCCCAATGGGCTCTGGGTCCTGGGGAAGGGGGGATTCCCACGGCCCTGAAAGGACAGTGGGGGACGCATGGTCTGCAGCCACCTACACTGCATCACCACCAGCTCTTATCCCACTTCAGTCTCTCCTCTGCCATTAACAGTGGAAAGGGGAGGAGGAACAAAATGTTGAACTCCAATCCTGCTCATGCTGCTCAGCTCCGTGCGACTGGCACCGGGCCACGGGGAGCAACAAGTCAGGCCTGTTTGAGCCTGGGAAAGGGAAAGCATTTAGCTTGGGAAAGGAAGGAAAACCCATCTCTGTCCATCCCACAGATGATAATTCTCGCTCCTCCTCTCAACCCTGAGGCTGTGCCAGGGCAGCAATCCCAGAGCAAACACCTCCCAGCAGATGCTTCTCATCCTCCCCATCACCTCCAAAGCACCCAAGAGCCTCCCGAGGGCGGTGCTGCAGGGACTAGAAATTCCTGCTTCCCCCCATCAAGCCAGGCAGACACTGACCCGGCCCAGGCAGCTCACTGCTGCACAGCTGCAAGTTGTTGGCTGGGGATGGAACCCCACAGGTGGCTGCACCCGTTTCCCAGGTGTGGGTGTGGTGTGGCCCACAGGATTTCTGTGCAGGGAGCACGGCCCTCAGGGCTTCTCCTCAGAGCAGAGCCGAGCTCGCCTTCGTTCAGGCCTCAGAGCCTCAGGGCCAATGGTGGGAAAAGCTATTTCATCAATACAGGAACCGTGTAAACAAGAAAAGAGGGCGACTTTTCACATAATCTAAGAGCAACAGGACAGGGGGAGGTTTTCAGTCGGGCTTTAGTGGTAGCAAAGCTGCAGACTCAGCCTGTGTTCACCACAGACACAGGGCCTCATTAGGCCTCGCTGGGCCCAAGCACAGCTCTGCAGCCCCCCCGATGGAGATGCAGCCCCCAGAGCTTCCAGGAATTCGGGCCATGTGTCAGAAAAGATGTGTGGAGGCCAAGGAGGTCATGCAGGGCGCTAAGGGCCTCGCTGCGCTGCCGGCAGCGCATGGCACCCCACCGCCGCCATGACACCGCCAAGCCGCCATGACACCGCCAGGCCGCCATGACACCGCCAGGCCGCCATGACACC